GAAAGCTGACTCAAATAACGTTATGTCATCACGTTCATATTCGGGGATGTTGTCATAATTACATATTGAATCGTGTGACAAAGAAAACCTATCAGGTTCCTGTGAACTGAATTTATTCTGTTGTACAGATGAATACAGACACACACTGGTCACCGTCGATCATTGAGGGGTGTTAATATATTCGTCGTCTGACAAGCTAACATGTAATTTAAATTTAGTTGATGGGCAGTTTCCGACGGTCCTTTATCACGATTTGCGCACATCCGCTAGGAAAGTGCATACACACAATGCGGGGCCAAACAATGAAATTCCATTGACTCTTGAGCATTTAAATAGACTTTCGTATCAAACTTTCCTCGTACAGAAAATCTCTCTATAGTAGATTGGCACTTATATCAACACACATACGTACTATTCTTACTAGGACTTTTCACCAAAGGGTGAAAATACCTATCGTTTTCACCATTAAATGAAAAGACTCATTGCTATTGTTATGTTTCTTATTATTTTATTCTTATTATTCTTCTGCCCTGGTTTTTTGGCGTCTTCATCTTTTGATCGGTAGCAGATATGTCTATGGTCTATATCGTAAGTCATAATAAAAAGGTGTTATTTAAAAGAAAATCAAGAATACTAGCGGAAAAAAAGGAACTGTGCATGCGGAGAATTGTTATACATGAAAATTCACACACATGACCGAGTATGACACATACACACTATCCGTGTGTCATTGACAGTTTTTCCCATGCAGTTTGCTCTCTATAGGCGTTGACCAGTTTGCACGTTTTTCTCGTCCAGCCATCCAATTCGACAATGAAAGTTTATTTTTTAAAATGTTGGGTCACTCTGTTGAGACCAGTGAACAGTAAAAACAGCATTATAATGTTTAACGATTAATGCTATGCCGAGGCTCAATGAAAATGACCGCCTCTGGATTATTGGTATGCTTCAAGCTGTATGTATGGGCCAAGCCGTTGTCTCTACACGTTTTCATGTCAATCGAAATACAATCCGGGATTTGTGGAAACGACATCAACAGTTTGGCCACGTCGGCGATCGACCTCGTGCGGGACAGCCACGTGTGACGTCACGTCAACAGGACAACCATATTCGGCTAGTCCATGCATTTGAGAAATCGCTTCCAAACGGCAGGTTTGACTGCACGGACAATCCCTGGGTTGCTACCAATAAGCCCGATAACTGTACGGAACCGATTGCGTGAACGAGCTATCCGTCCGCGACGTCCCGAATCCGCCCAGTTTTTCCGCCACGTCATCGTGTAGCACGTCTGGACTGGTGCAGAAGGCATCTGCGATTTACTCGATGGGATTGGGCAGGCATTTTGTTTACGGACGAGTCGCGAGTCCACCTGGATAGTAGTGACGGCCGTTCCAGAGAGTATCGTCGCGTTGGAGAACGTTTCCGTGACACGTGTATGGTACAACGACGTTCTTTCGGCGGAGGCAGAGTTATGATTTGGGGCGGCATCACAGTCAACGGGAGAACGCCTTTGGTGGTTGTTAACGGGAATTTGAACGCGCTACGTTACCGTGACGAGATCCTCCGGACCGACGTTCACATTACGCTACAGCAGGACAATGCCAGGCCACACACAGCTCGTGTCGCTATGTACTGTCTGGCCCAGCAGGACGTTGACGTGTTGCCCTGGCCTGCTGTATCCCCAGATCTGTCGCCCATTGAACACGTCTGGGATGAAATGAAGCGCAGATTCGGGCATTACCTAATCAACTGGGGACGTTGGCTGATTTGCCTGCAGCGTTGGTACAGATCTGGAATGCCATCCCACAAGCATTCTGGAACCGTCTGATAGGCTCCATGCGTCGACGTTGCCAGGCTTGCATTCAGACAAACGGTGGACATACGAGGTATTAACTTTGTGAACTCAGTATTGACCCCTGCTGTGTTTACGTCACACTTGAGCGGAACTTATTGCAACTGTTAATAAATTGTCCCTGAAAACCTTGTTGTTCTACGTCATACACATTTATTTTTATAACAAATTTTAGGCATGCACAGTTTCTTTTTTCCGCTAGTATAGTTCAAAATATCTGATATGGCCGCTAGGACATTTTATGTCAAAATCTGAAAATGGCCATTACTCAAAAACAATAGATTATATAGCATTGATGCAAATTTTATCATCTGTAGATATTCTTCGGGGGCTATCTTTTTATATTACATTTTAATAAGAAACAGGTCCACAAAATCCTCGCTGTTTGGTCAAAGGTCACCAATTTTTCATTATTTTTTATTTAATAAGGTGTCATAGTAAAATAAATACGCTTTATTACAGCACACTGACCAGCAATACGTAAGTGTATCTGTTCATCAAATCATCAACTCAATTATTATATTATTCTGCGGATCATATTTCACTTAATTGACCCGTGCAATCGCGAAAATATCATCCCCGCGGAAATACCTTCTTTACGGTAGTTGAATTATTAGTGATCCTATCAATGTCTATGTTAATGACACTGTGTCTACCAGCAGGTAAATCACATTTATCGATCGGGGTTGTAAAAGCCCAATAGATTAATACTAACGTCCGTCTATACGGGCTGGGAGCAACCGTGATGTATGGAAATCACGGTCAATGTTACTTTTACAACCCTTTCATATTTCCCTCGAGTCCCTTTTGAGGGACGTACATTGTACCGTCAAAACAATATTTCAGTCATTGAATGTACGTGCTTTCTCCACTGCCAAGTTTGTTTCCCTGCTATTCTCAAATTCAAAGTGCATTCCAAATTACCAGTTTGACCACTATAGCGCCGATAACATCAATTGTCAATTTCTAAACGATGCAGAATTATTTATAAAAACAAGCCGAGACAATTCGGAATTTCTTATCCTACTTTGAAACCAAGGAATAAGATTTTATTTTAGTCCGTGTTGTTACTGATCACATCGTACCATACACTCATTATTTTTCATCATTAGTACTCATGTCATAGGCCAATTTTCTTAAAGTGCATGTTGTTTAAAAGTTGAAACACATGTTTGTTTAATCGCAGAACTAGAATATGTAAGCCTGTGGTTAAATTTATCATCAAAACTCAATAACTTTTGATTTTCCTTTAAACCTCTTTGTTCTAGATTATGCGGTACATGTATACTTGATTTCCCCTTTTCATTTTTTGATACTCTTTTAACACGGAGTAAGTATTTTTAGTCATCACACACAATTAACATTTCTGACAAATTCAAATACGTGGACGATCATTGTGTCAGCCATTGGACATGTTTGCATCATACGTTTACATTATGATATAACTTTTATATTACAATTATCTTTTCTTTTGTAATGGGACATTGACCTTTGTAACACAACTGCATGAATAGGACAGATATTCTTTAAACGACCAATGAAAGATTTTTAACCGGTTTAATCCATGTAATAAGTATGCTTCGTCCCTAATAACTGAAAGTTATGTGAATAAAAGTATTTCTATAGACATACTTTAATCCAATTGTCAGAAACAGCAGGAACAATCCTTGGCCACGCGCGCCATTTTTACGTTCAGGTGACTTTTTCAGTTTTCAATACGTCTTCTGGTGCTACATATATCTGAACTTGTAAATTAATCATTTACGTAATTGTTACATGGCTGCGCATTCGATACGTCTGGATTATTATTATGAGGAATAAGACCAGGAACACTGCAGTACGTGAGGACGACACGATGTTTTCTCGCACCTCAGACAGAAATATCCTACGTCATACGTACCCCATGCTAGATTTCTCTATCTCTCCCGATCTGTCTGATATCTTAACGTGCCATTTCGCGGAAATTTTACACTACGATATATTCATCCGCGCATGTTTTGCAGTTATATGTATTGTTTTGATGTTGTTAGATCCCTGATATTATAGATAAATATGATTTATATTGTGATATACGTTGTCTTCTTTCAAAGTACGGTCGTCATTTTTACGCGGAAGCATTCAAATGTAGCTTTAGAAGTATAGAGGCCGTTTTCAGTTGAGGCCCAAGACGGGAGACTTGTAATCTTCAGCAAAATTGAATAGTTTTTTCGAACTTAAAGGGTCGAGAGAAAAAAAATTCAATTACTTGTAACTGAGCAAGATCGGATTATAGTAGCCCTAGATTGAGATAACCCGATCTCGCTCAATTACAGGTAATATATTTTATTATAATCTCCCTGTCACGTGATCAATAACATATAATAAGACACGCAGTTACAGATGTATTTAGTATTATGATACTTTTTGTTGACGTAAATGTAAAAAGTGATTTCATGTTATTATTTACACAAAAAAAATCATAATCAGATTGAATACCTGCGGTTTAGTTTATAATGCATTAAATACAATGTTATATGTCAGGAAGTTCAGAAGTATTAAAACAAATTTTATGCATACACAAAACGAATCGCAAGACAAACCGTCTAAGTCAGGCCAAACAAAAAGATATTTTGTTTCTTGTAACATGTTTGTTAACATAGGGTAGGTAGGTTAAACATAACGTGTTTAAAGTAATTTGAGGTGGTGTGTATAGGAGAGTGATCCTGACTTTAAGAGTGCTTCTAATTGAATCTTTAGGTTGGGCACTAAAGAATTAAGATAGGTAGGTTTACCGGAAACACAAAACATATTTTGTTTGGCCTTATAACACATGTTCCCTTTGTAGCGAATGTAGCAGAGATATGTTAAGAATATGATTAAATAGCATTGTCATGAAAGTACGGTAACAAATGCGCAGATTCAATTAATAATTCTCATCGACCTTTGGTGAATTTCTGTTATGTTCTGTTCTGGGAAATTATGTACGTATTTTGCAACAACTTTTGATTGTAAGACGTTCAGTAAACGGAAATCCAAATCCATAATCGTGAGAGACAGACATTTTCGGATTTTTAAAAGAAAATATAATTTAGGTATTAGATATGCTTGAAAGGCCGTAGTGCATAGTACAGGATGTGAAAGTACAGCGACGAATGTTTGGAAAAAGAACATGTCGCAAGGGTTAGTGAAAATAATCTATTGTCTATTATTCTTATCTATTTTGATTTGCACACATGCACATCAAAATTCCGTCAACTTGATTATACATTTTGTGTGATGTTATATCTGTTCGTTGTGGTAATATTCAACAGTGACCATTCACATTGGCATATAGATTACTCACGTGCATCACGTCATTAGTTTCATGGACAGCATATTGCTGTGGATTAGAGACCCACGGACACTGCTAGATACTGTCTAGCTGTGCAATACATGCGCGAACGCCATAGTAACAGATGGCGTGATCAAACGAACTCACGCTATGCGGTAACTCGTACAAGCGTACAACTTAAATAAGATGACATGCAAGCGTTGCCTTTTGTTTTGGCATAAACGGAACTAGTCTATCGGTGGAGACAGGTGCAAAAGCTAATGATCATATATGTTAGGCGTGTGTGTGATAAACTAAATGTATGTGATGGAAAATACAGATGTGTTAACACAGGTTTGTGTATGAGGTGTATCTCCGATGTAACTTCGTTAGCACACATCAGTTTCAAGCAGAATAGGAAGGAAGTGTGATCGTATGCTGTACAATACATACTATCAGAAATGGTGTAAATGGACAGTGACAAAAACAAACGTTTGTAGAATCTGTTCATTTCTTTCTTGTGGATTTATATATCTTTTTTCGAGTAAGTATTCATCATCATCATCATCCTCAGCTGAGTCGTCGTAGTTATCTTTTTAAAAAGATCTTTTGAATAGATATTTGGCGATAATGCATACATCACAGTATTTTTCCATTGCTCCTATTAATGTAGCTGATGAAATACGTAATATAGATTGGGTACAGAGTTACGTTGTTTTGAAGTCGTTTAGTAAGACTTAATGTATAATTTCAGCTTTGTTTATGCAGGTCCTTTAGTAAATCGTAGCCGTCAGCGAAAAATATCCTTTTTTTATTTTACTTGAGTTAAGATCAATACATAACATTATCTTAAACAATGCATTTTGGCAACGAAATTCTCCTTGTAACACAACCTGTTGTAATGGACACATGTTGATGTGATATTGTCTCTTGACATTTGTTGTCGGTTTCATGAGAGTCGTGACTTAACAATAACAAGACCATCATTCAGCAAATTCACTACACTGTGTTATCACTCGGAATAGTTTTCCTTTCATAACTGTTGTATATCATTATGATTTATGTATTTTAAAGGATCACATATTACGATTATTTGTCATGGGGAAAGACGAAATGTACTTTCTTAATCTCTATGATTGTCCCAATGTAGGAATATGATAACAAAAATATGGATTGTAAATAATTGTATTTGAGTTTTCATTTTAACTCGATGCTTTATAAATACCTGCCGAAATATTACGGGGATTGTGGGTTAATTAATATTGCTGCTCGTGCTTCATTCAGTCCAATTCATGTTATCATATAACATTTGTTGTGTTTGTCAAGCTGGTCGCGAGGCGGTTGTCATAGAAACGAAACAAAACTAACTCAATGAGATCCTATTCGTGTTCATCAAAGTGATGATAGTGATATTTTCATGTTTAATTACATGTATTACTGTCAGAATTTAGCGTTGTGTTTAAGAATTTCAGGAATAATAATCATAACACCATAGGACATGACAGCTCATAGAAACGAAGTAAAAATAACTCAGTGAAATAATATAAATGTGCATCAAATGATGATGGAGATTTTTTTAAATTTTTAATTATCCCTGACAGAATATAGTTTATTGTTTAAGAATGTCAGGAAGACAACCATAACACTATCTAACATGACAATTTTCTATAGGAGAGGTCAATATCAAACTTCTGACTGAAAAAATAGGGCGAGAGTAAAATATTTTCTCCCAATCTTGTGATGATTATTTGGTTGTCCTACCCTCGGCAGTCTCGGGTGAGACATCAAAAAGGCAATACCTCTGGCAGGAGGTTTCTCTGTAACAGCGTCAAAGAAGGAGTAGATGTTAGTTACTCCAATGAGAGAATTCTTTGTTAGATTTAATAATCTCACAATTCTATGTCGTTTGATACCCAATAAAGGGACATAACTCTACTGCAAGGAAACATGCCAGTGGATGAATGGCTACGTTTATAGAGGCTAGTTTATTATGCTTTACTTTATCTTTATGAAACTTACCCCATGTGAAAAAACAATTTAGAATTCTGTCTCTGATAATTCCTCGACTGATGTGCTCAGGGAATAAGTCCTAGAGTACGACCTTTTATGGCGATAGCTGCACGAATCGACTGATCATATGAAGTTAGAGTTGGTCGGAGTTTGCAATCAACCTTGACCCCTCGGTTAATTTTTAAATTTATTTTTTATCATCATCTGTATTGATTATTTCGATTACTTATGTAACAATTTCATTTTTCCTTTGCTTATTTCTATTTCAAATACCAACAGTGGGTCAAGATACATTTAGATTATTAACGTTTTCTTCCTTTGTTTTGGTATTATATTGTTACCCGACATGTTTCATTGAGGTAATAGTAAAGAGACTGAATTCATTAACTCACTCGGGTGATCTATGACTCACTCATGACAAATATTCATTTCATCATTACAGTAATTTTGCCTCCCCACAAGGACCGTATATTTGGTAATTTGTGCATGCAGTATCTTATATTGTTTAAATATATATTCCAGATAAAGCATGATGTTTTCTCGAAACAATGGAGATACCTGCACGAACAGACGCACCCTCGTGACATTGTGTGCAGTATCCTTTTTATCTACGTTTGTATTTCTGTATTTGCACTCGTCAATCACCGTACAGACATTTGCGATCGAAAAGGAATTGCGAGGTACTGTTCAAAACATGGCGCAATGGCGGGACAAGATAGTTGATTGGGTACAGATGCTGGAAAACGTTACAACGAAACCACGAACTAGGCGCCATGGTCAGCTGTACCGGAATGAAACAAACCATAGTGTGTTGGACAATAGGACTACTACGGATTCACCTGTTAAAGTGTTTACGACACCAGGCATACTGTTAACTTTGTTTACGACATGGCCAACGAGGGCAGACAAATATACTTGTCACAATAATACGGTAGAAAACTGGAGAACATTTAAACCGAATATAAGACCTATGCTCTTCACAAACGAGGATTATTTAGCAAGGGAGGTCACTAAAAAGGGATGGAGCTCACTTCCTATTCGTCAGGAACACTTTGGAATACCAGTCCTGAAGTTTATGTACACGGACGCCATGAAAGTAAGTCAGTCTCAGTTTTACGCGTATGCCAATGGAGATATACTGTTTACATCAACATTGATTAAAACCTTGACAGCGGTAGTGAATTCAACAGTGATACCTAATGACAAACCGATAATGATCGTCGGTAGGAGGACGAATGTACAGGACGTAAGTGTATCAGAGGCGAATTCATTGACGAATGTGTCGAAGGCGGCCCGAAAACGTGGGAAACTGTTCTCCGCGTGGGCTGAGGATTATTTTGTTACAACAGAAAATTATCCATGGAAAGATATTCCGGAAGTAGTGATTGGCCGTAGAGCCTATGATAATTGGTTAGTATTAAACGCGCGTAAACATAATCACACTACAATTGACGCGACACTAACACTACTTGCTCTTCACCAGACGACAAAAGCAGGAAACCACGAAGGACACAAGGCGACACACTCGGAATATAATCACAGTCTTTTAAGCAGACTCTATAAACGGCTAAACTATGCCGCCGGGCTCACGTCTTGTGCCGAGTACCTCACGAGGTACGATAATGCCATGAATATAAAGGTCGAAAGGAGAATAAAGACCTGCTGATCGACCATTGATATGTAGCAAAGGGAGATAATGCTTCCGGTACACGAACTGTCCAGACTTTACTTAGTCTGCTTCACGTAAGTTGTAAATATAACAACTTGACCGTTGTACCGAAAGTACGAGTTCACCTTAATAACAGTCAAGTTGAAGCTTAGTGTTTGCAATTAAATATAAGAGAAACTGAATTTCGAGAGGAACACAGGGTTGTTTCGATTAAAACATTCTTACCAGCTGGGCCAACTTCATTGTACATATTTGAGCAAATGGATTTAACAGAGTTCAGAATCGGTTCTCTTTTTAAGTATAATATAATTCGAACAATTGTAAACTGTATAGAACAAAATGAGATTCTTGATTGTCTTGTCAATATCTGACAAACCCATGCACATGAACTTGGAAAATGCTATTATCATATATGATTTATTGTATCTTTGCTACCCATCTTTTGTCAATAGTCAACAATGTTCGTAATGGATTTCTTGTCAAACAGTGTCAAGTGGTTTCTACAAATCAGAACAATTTTAATTTTAATTTTAATTTTTAATATTATGTATTATTTTAATAAAAAATATTGTTCTATATTTGTTTTCTTTTTATATTTCTATTAGAATGTATGTATCGATCTTGTGTATTAATGCTCTAATATATATATTTTAACACAAGTTTAGGTTTTAAACTATGATGTATTTTAAGAATATCTTTATTTTTATTCATTTTTTTCGGATATTAGATAAATATGGATTTTAAAACATGGAAAGTCTACTTATATTTGATTGTTTACAGACTGCCTGTTGTCTAATCCTTTTGTTAACACAATAAAATGTGTTGAAACCATTGGACTAGGCGGACATTTCAAAGTAGATTACTATGCCCAAACACAGGAAAACAAAAATAGAATATAGAAAAAAATCTTGTCATTCAAATTCTGATGTGAAAAAAACAAAAGACAAAATATTAACAAAAGAGAGATGGACATTATGACCCTTGAAAAAGGTCAAAGAAAATATGGCAGAAATGGGTGAAGGTTTTCAACACTGTTTAGCGTAATTGCTTGCCAAGGTACCTTTGCAAAAGTGTTACATGTTAGTTACTTAAACGCGTTGTGATGCGATACAAGAAATGCTTCTTATTTCCGGGTTATATGGGTGTAGAGTGTTTTCCCCTTTTTTTGTTTGTCTGTGTTCTCTGTGGTTGCTAAGGTAATTTACATCAATTTTCTGTGATTAATTTGTCCGTTTTAATAGAATCTGATCACTGAAATTGTTCACTCGAGTGATTGATTTGAATAGCATTTGTATGTAAATGAAATTAAACACCCTTGATAACCATACGACCTCCGAGTATTGTTTTAACCAATTTAACATTATTTTCATGAAAGGTGTATTTTATGTAAATGAAGTTGCAATGCATATGCAAATGATTTGAACATTTATGAGGTATGTATCTTAATTTTATATCTATCTTTGTCTCGATCAATCACTGGCTAGGGGCCATTTTAAAAGAAATCAAAACTACGTGTATTGATTTTTTTTAAAATGTATATTCCCCGATCATAATTTCATGATCCCAATTTTATGCAATATTATACTTCAAAAATTGGCTGTCTTAACCGGAAAAGACTAGGACCTAAACCTAAACATTTTGCCGATTTATCGGGTTTCCTATTATTAAGTCCGTTATGTTTGATATCAATGTCTGTTATACCAAATTATATAAGTCAATATACTTTTACATGCAAAACCTATGAAAGAACATATCTTTGAAGATTATTTTATGGTATCAGTGGTTTATCACATAGAAATTTAATTATGATGACACTGCCCGAGTTCTCGATGTTAGGACGTGATATTTCTTTGATTCGACTAAGATTGACATGGCGGGTCTCATCGACGAAGCAAAAAACGCTTACCCTTCCGGGGCACCTGGTCGAACTCTCCTTCAATGTCAATTTTTCATTTGTTCATATTTTCCCTTTGTTTTATCGATTTTTTAGTTCGAATTAAGGATTTGTTGACACTTCGGTTATCTCATCTTGTTGTTTTTCCTGAAATAGTAATGTGCATTTATCCCCTGACAAATAAGTTCATGTTTTAAAATGTTAAAAAAAAATCAAAAACGATATTGCTGTATTCTAGATTATCAGTGTGATCAAGACTGGAAGCGTGTTTTGATTGATCACTAGACCTCAGTACATAGCCCTGTTTAAAACATTGCAGAGATGATGCAACAAAAGCTTAATAATAACTGTTAAGCGTTTTCCAAACCGTTAGTGTAATCCGTTGAAAGGTATGTTGACGATTACAAATGCGTTTGCTACAGGAAGGTCGCTTTATGTGTGGTTTAACGAGATAATTAGTGGTTGAAAATTACGTCGCACTTTCTGTTGCTAACTCACAAAGCCGTAACAAATCCTCCTTCATACATACGTGCTTTAAAAGGGATGGGCGATAGTAATTCGTTTTTAGAAAGCTCTTACCGAAATAGGGGCAATGCTTTAGAAAAGGCTGACCGCAAACTTTTGAAAAAGACGGTACATTTTTATCGTTTTCTCTAAACATAACTATGGAAAAAATGTTGCATATGTCACATGAGAAAACAGTGTATTCTCTGACGATAACATGCTGTGCGATACAGTTGACATATACTTTCCCTCGAACCTTTCGAGAGAGTAAGTAAAAGGTATCAACTTTCTGAAATAACACCCTGTAGTGGTGACACCTAAACATGTTAACGTATCAATGATTTGCATAATGTGCTTTCCAGAACGAGTGTCGATAATGGCCAGTCAGCCTGTTGTTAACAACAGCCTTTAAGATGGAGGAGTGTCAGGAAGTTTTAAAGTGATTGTACTTTACAGTGTCCCGCTCAACCTCGGAAGTTTCATGCAGCTGTTTCAAAGATAATAAACGCCATACAAACAAACAGGACGGAATTCTGTCCGTCTTACTCAAGGATTAAACGCCCAGAATTAGAACATATGCTGACTTCTTATTGATTCCTGGACCGGTTTGTCGTGGGTTTAATTGTCGTTGTTGTTTCCACATGATTAAATTGGTCGTTGTGGTGCCTTCTGACATAACATGACAAGGAAATACCGTTGGCATTTCAATCATTTGTTGCATCGTTGCAATTATCGCGTGCACCTGGAAAAAAATATTGCATTTTATCGGCATAAACCCTTATCATGCAAGCCAACGATATTCTAACATGTCTTTATTACTTATTGGGTTACAATTGCAAGGTTCCATTGATTCGATACATGTTGGCAGCACATGAATAAGGATCCTGTTATAAAGCCCTAGACGTTTTTATCATGTCGATCCTTTGTTGTTTACTCTTGAAGTTATATTATGCATTTTAAGAATACATTTCATGCAGTTTTTCGTTCATTTGTTTTGTATAGTATGAATCTGTAAATGTCGGTCATTGCTATTGTGATATTTTTTTTATTCATTTAAGGATACAGGTAACTGATTGTTTGACACCTGTTTGGTTTACCTAGTATAACTGGAGTTTAAAATTGATATTCGCCAATCGAAATTTGACTAAACTGGCATGAAATTAACAAAATACATGAATATTTTAATATTGTTTTATGGAGTATAATTTTAATAGTAAATTGGTCATTCTAAACATTGTTTCCCTAAAAACACTTTATAAATCATAACATTTTCGAGAAAAAAGAAATTCAATTTCAGACTGAATTTGTATCCGTGAAATTGATAGCTATAATCTTTTTCTTGGTAGCACTACCTACGATTTTGTTTTAATTTCTTTATAGCACCTTGTTTTTCTATTTTCTTTTGAAGAAACAAAAAATTTATGACCATATATATCTTAAGTACACATTTGGATTTTATTTCTAATTGATAAACTTAATAAGGACCAACGATGTAATATAAAGGCAAACTTCAATGCATTCAACACAACACCTTAGCTTGATGTTAAGCATTGAATAAGTGTCGGCAATTACTAGTCAGTCTGTTGTTATTATATACATGTAAAAAGGGTAGAATTTGAGGACTCTTCAAAGAGATACCACATTAAAGTATCCCTCTCAGCCGTGGACGCCGTTTTCGTACGACGTTATGACGTCAGCTGTTGCACAGATGTTTTAAAAATCCTAAACAAACATATCCCGTCATGTCTCATTTCGACTAATACAAACAGCAGAGGATTTCTTTTAATAAAACATGTGTGTGTATATTCGGGGAAAGTTTAGGCCTGATGTACCCCACTTCATGATCGTAAGAGGCGACTTATATGGGAGCCCCATGCAGATTCGGGGGTGGGCTCTTCCTTGTCTTCCTTTTAGGGGACATTGCATCCCGCTCATAAAAGAATCGGTAGAATCGGGGTATCTTCTTCTGTGTCTTCTACTAAGGGGACATGAAGAGACCAAAACTAATTTACTACCCCAAATTCAACACTTGGTATCTTTTTTGTTTCTTGCCTTTCCTGTCTTCTTTCTGTTCTATCTACTGTCTGTTTCAGGCCCTTCCTCCCTAGGTTTGTTTGTTTGTTTGTTTGATTTTGTTTAACGTCCTATTAACAGCTAAGGTCATTTAAGGACGGCCTCCCCTGTGTGCAAGATGCATGCGTGTAGTGTATGTGTGTGTATTTTGGGAGGCTGCGATATGTTCGTGTTTGTCTCCTTGTGATAGCGCGGAACTGATGCCGACTTTATAGTGCTACCTCACTGAAACATACTGCCGAAGACACCCAGCAGGACGCCCCACCCGGTCACATTATACTGACAACGGGCGAACCAGTCGTCCCACTCCTAATTTGCTGAGCGTTAAGCAGGAGTAGAAACTACCATTTTTAAAGACTTTGGTATGTCTCGGCCAGGGGACAGAACCCAAAGCCTTCCTCACAGGGGCGAACGCTCAACAAATGGCCAAAAGTGAGGCATTGTCAAGGGAGACATTAGGAAGAAGAAAGTTATTTAGAAAGGAGAGAAGAGATAAGGTCCCAAATTTAGTCGCCTCTTACGATCATGCAATTGGGGGCAGCAGGTACAATTCTTACACCCTACCTGCAGGGTCTTCCTCCCTAGGCACCCGTCCCCAAATGATCCTGGCTGCTGTGAGGTCAATAAACCAAAATCGAACAAACAAAAACGTAGTGCTTTTTATACCGATTTGCTACAAAAAGTACCAGCGAACCATTATGTTACCTGAAATAATAGGATATGTGAACACAATGTTTGTAGTTTTGTAAACCACGCCTTATATTGATTACTTTCTTCACTCTATAACAATATTTGTTTGTTTGTTTGTTTGATTTTGTTTAACGTCCTATTAACAGCTAAGGTCATTCAAGGACGGCCTCCCCTGTGTGCAAGATGCATGCGTGTAGTGTATGTATAACAATATAATTTGCAGTGGTGTGGTATTCCATTTGATGTAAGTGTAGCTGCAGATGCGTTTCTAGCATTGATTAACAGGTGTTCGACATTTTGCTTTCGACAACCTTCTGTATTTTCCTGCATTTCATGCCTTAATTTCGAGTTATGATCAGGAAATCGATATCGGAACTTCGTCATCTCTTGGCACATGCCATAAATAATTTAGTACCACATCTTTTACCTGTGGAAAGGAGCAAGTAACGAAACCAATCAATACAGGTAGGCCATGTAATACTAACAACTAGGTTGATTATCTGGGAAGGGCCAGTCTCATTTTTTTTAAAAATATTTACACTAATACCTCAATATAATGCCATTATCTTATTTGTTTCCCTAACACAATGACTTCCCGCCAATGTCCCCTTGTCTCTGCTTCTTAAGAATTGCTTTATGTGTTTACTTCACTTTACTGCCTATCCCCTTTATAACACCAACATTTCTCTGGACAAATAGTGGCAGTATAACGAGGTTTTACCGTACAATAAGCAGGGAAGTCATGATTAAAGGATATGAGATGGAACAGGACACCGTTTGTGCTGCTTATTTTTCAAGAATGCATAGCATACGTGAAAATGCCCAGAAAAATATCTTGTAAGCAGTTATGATAGATTTAAGCCTCCCCACTCATAACAAGAATAACTCCATGAACACGAAATGGCTTCTATCAAAAACATGGTAGCAACTACTGCAAAACTATATGAAAACCTTAGCGAGCCTTGTATGGTAAAAACCAACTATTGTTATGCAACACTCACCCTGGGTGCTGGTTCACGTTGCAGGATGGTTTCTTCAAGGAACTCCAGTCCGTCTCCGGGTCCTTGAATCTGAGAATTATGTGGAACTGAACTGCGGTGTGTTATTCACGTGTTCGTCTGTTCGTAGGTTTAGCTCAAGAGGCCAGGGAATCCTGGGTAATCCCGGTCCAGGGGAGCGTCAAGGTCACTTGGATGCTTAGGAAGGAAGCCAATTTCACCACACTCTCCCCTGTTATATTTTGAAACCCGTAATGATTTCCCTATCGATCTCCCTATATCCCCCGGCCCTTAACGTATGTATAGGTTATTGTCCTATCCTCCGCCTCACTTCGGGTCCAGAGGGGACCTTCACTCCTGGAACCTTCTCCGGTTCCTGACCTCTCTCCGGGTCTTTGATCCACTCTGACGGAAAGAAACTCTTACCGTTTCTTTCCGTCAGTTCCAGAACATCCTCCATGCTCATGCCACCCAGCAGTTCGCCGATTCTCTGGGCAGTGACGTCAAGCAAATGCGGGGCACTGCATGGGAATTCCTTCCTGACCGGAAAGTATGGAGCATCCGTTTCCACCAGGGGATGGTCTTGTGGGATGGCCTGTAGAGCTCTCTGCTGGTTCTCGTTGAACTGGAAGACCAGTCCCGACACGCTGAAGTTGGTGTTCGGGAACAGGGCTAACAAGTCCCGGACCACACTCTCCGGGCCCGTGAAGCAGTGAAGCTGGATCTTCTGATCACTGCTCACTCGATACTCCAGAAGATCCAAGCATCTCATGTAAGCCTCTAGGCCTGTAGAGTCATTCCGGGTTCCCCGTATGTGGAGCACCAGCACTTTGCTTGGGTCCAATAACGGCAACAATGCCTTGAGCTGCCGTTCCTAGTCATGCCATTGGTCGTGCTGGTCCACTGTGTGGTCGATTCCAATCTCCCCTAATCCAGCTACACCAGGTAAGGTCAAGAGCCATGTGAGGTGCTCGATTGCCTGTGGCGCCGCTATAATTTTGGGGTGGACTCCAACCACTACCCGGAACCCGTCCTGGACTAACTCGTTGATTTCTTCCTCAGAGGGGTAGGTAGGCGGGTCGCAATAGACCACCACCCCTCCCGAGACCTGGACGAGGTAGTCCCCGGACTCTGTGGCCATGACCTCCTGCACGTCTTTTACGGACGCATTGGCTTCCAGCCGAAGCCTATACCGAGTCCTGTCCAGGTGGAAATGACTGTCAAAGGCATACACTACCGTCTGCATCCCCTCCATCGAGTCCCCCTGCATTTCTGGTTCCTCCCCGACCTGTTCTTCATTGTTCCACACTCCGGTCGTTCGCTCCTCAACCTCTTCCTTGGATGAACTAGCTGAGGGTGCCTCGGAGGCATGGACAGTCTGGTGTATGGGTTGAGCATAGGTCCCCCTCAGACTGTCCATGGTAGCTGGCGACAATGCCCCCGCGATCACGGTCAGACACCTCCAGTGTACGAGGGCCGCTGGGGAGTTGATTGGGGACAGACAAAAACGGTTCGGCACCGTGATGTGCAGTACCTTACACATCTCTACCATGGCCTTTTCCTGAATCGCGGTGATCTGCCAGCCTGGGAGGATGAGGTTATGGCCATCGATATGGTCGCACAAGTCCTGCAATGTGGCGCGTGGACCCAGCATACACTGTGCCATAACAACCAGACAAGTGTACCGGGTGTTTGCCAGGTCTTCGTCCAGATCTCCCCGTCCCCCGGGATCTGACGTTCGTGGTCTGTCCGCGAAGATAGCCGGGACATGATCTTCGATCAGATGGAGCTTAGGGTAAGTTGTCTCTTTCCCACATCCAGAGATTGTACAACCCTGAACCTGCCTACGCCCTACTTTGGCGTGCCTTCCCATTTTGGCCTGGGTTGGTTCAGGGCTTGTTCCCAGCCCTCCACCCGCGACGCCCTCCGTTTCCGAGGATTACCGGGCCTCCGGGACTGATCTGGCACCCTGGAGCTCCAAAAAGTTCGGGATCCCCTGAAGTCCATGGCATCTTCTGCACCCCGTGCCCGGGAACGGGCCTCCCGGCCTCTGGATTGAGGGGCTTTTGGCTCAGCACTCCCTCTAGAGCGGCCATACACCTGTGTGGTGATTGCCTGACACGGAGACGGCAGGCGACGACCTGCTCCATACGAACCACCAGTGGCAAGAGGGTGACCTCGGCTGGGGGATCTGCTTACCTTGGAGTTCCCCTCATTTCCGGTCCTTGGCGAGTTCTCTTTTCCCTGGGTCCATGACCGCTTTGGCGATGGCGCCAGGGTTTCCGGTGAAGAGAGGCCCTGGATGAGCAGACTCATCCTCGGCTCCGGACTCGGGTGACAGAGTGGTGCCGGGCTAAAATGAGGCAATTCCGCACTGTCTTTCTGTGCTATCACCTGTTCGGCGGGAGATGTCGATTGTCGTTCCCGCACTCCCTGGCCCGAGGGCTCCTGGGGATTTAAGATCTGCCTGTTACCCCCTGTCGGCCTGCCCAAAACTACCTTAGCGTTGGGGATGTGGGGAGGATTTGGTTTCTCCCTGGACCTGCTGGTCCCTGTCCGACACACCACTGCATAGGTCATGGTCGCCGAGACCGGGTTCCGGACAACAACCCCACCTTCGCCACTCACTTCGGTGACCGTGGTGTCTTCNACAACAACCCCACCTACGCCACTCACTTCGGTGACCGTGGTGTCTTCTACAACCGCATAGGTCATGGTTGCTGAAACCGGATTCTGGACAACCGTCTCACCTTCGGCACTCACTTCGGTGACCGTGGTGGGGATGGTAGGGTCTGTGTACCTCCGAATGTCGATAACCGGGGCAAGAACATCGTGCTGAGAGATGGCAGATTCCCGTCTAGCCGTTGCGCTAGCCTTGTGTTCTTCTTCCCTTGGCCTTCTTTGGCCTTATTTTTGCCCCTTGCTTAGGTGGGTCATTTCCACCTATACAACCGATATTCTGCCGGATCCAGGCATTAGAGAAAAGGGAACGAGCTCCTCGTATAGCCTCGTCAATCCAGTCTTGTCGGTTGGTCCGTCTCGCTATAGCCACTTGGCCTAGCAATGACGACTCCAAATCAGGTTGAGACATGTCGGTCTCGCAGAACAGCCTTCTGAGCAAATACCTTGCGCCCAGAAGCCGTCCTACGGCGGCGCTCTGTTCCAGATCGGTTAAAAATGGCTTCTCGGGGGGTTGATCTACCTGGGCCATACCGTCTACCTGCAATGGGAGAGACGATTCTATAAATGCTGTGCCGAACCCACCCGTTTGCATGCAGCGCACTTGTATCTATCGATATATAGAGCTTCTGATGGTGCGATATTGATACAAAACCCATGAAACCATTCCCCACAGTAATCGCAATGGATCATAAACTGTCCTCCCCAGGGTTTTCTACACAAACAGTACACACCCTCGTCAGTGTTTCCATCCACCGGCAACGGTTCTGTAACCGAGAAGTTGCGCAACCACACGGGAAGTTGTCGATCCCGACAAGGTTTCAACTTGTCATGATTCAGAACCATTACCTTGTTATGCAACTGTACCCTGAATAGATATGGTGTTATTTTCTCAAGGATTATTCCCCGTCCTTTCCATGGGGGGCACAGTTTCTTACATTTTCCTTTCGGAGAACTGTTGTCCAGAATATACACCCGATCCCCCTTGTCATACGACTTGGTGAGGATCCTGAGGTCGTAATTCCTTTTCATCCGTTTTTGAGTTTCCTTTAATTTTTGTCGAGCCAAATGGTGTACCTCCTGAAGCGTTTTCACCAGTTGAGATATGTACGGGGCTACATCAAGCTGCTCCGATGTTCGACAAGACTCGAACATGAGATCAGCTGGGAGGTTAACCTCCCTGCCCAGCATCATCATGTTTGGGGTTTGGCCCGTGTTCCGGTTTAGGGAGGAACACGTCCCAGTCTGTTTGTCGTTTCCCGACAAAACATCGTACAGCATCCATAAGGGTTCGGTTGTACCGCTCGACCTGTCCGTTCGAGAATGGCCGATATGGAGATAAACAAGTTACTCTCGAAGTTTCGACCTTGGTCCGAGAACAGTTGGAAAGGCACTCCGAAACGTGAAAAGAATGAGTTCACAGCAGCCTTGGCCGTGACCTCAGCAACTTGGGATTTGACTGGAATAATCTCGACCCATTTTGTGAACTGGTCAACCATCATTAAGATATGTTCGTGTCCTTGACCAGTCCTGGGCAACGGTCCTAGGAAGTCGATGTGTACCCTCTCCATGGGGGCACCAGCGTGATACGCAACTAAAGGGAATCTTGACTTCCTCGAGGGTTTCTTATTCCGGTTACAGATGTCACACGATGACACATATCGTTTCACATCCTTTGTGATGCCATACCAGAAGAATTTCTCCTTGATTTTGTGACGCGTGCGGGAAATACCTTGATGCCCGGCTGATGGCAGGTCATGATGCAGGTGCATCGCTGTTGTTCTCAGTCCTTTAGGAAGCACTAAAAACTCGATATCTGAATCCTTCCCCCTAATAAATGCTGTACCCTCTCTAAATCGGAGAAGTTCCTTATTTATCCAGTAGAACTTGGCTGCTGGACTCGCGGAGAATACTTCATTGGGGGTTGGTTCAGCTTTGGACTTTAACCAATCCAAGACTAGTTTTAAATCGGGGTCGCTCGCCTGCTCCTGGCGGACCTCGTCACGAGTGAAACCCCAACATCTTTCCGTTCCGTCATCCAGTTGGACTACGGACACGACAGTGCCCCACTCTGTACATACGTTCACTTGCTGCACCCCGGGTCTCCCGTCTACGGGTCCCATGGAACATACCTCCACTGTTACCGGGGACTCATCTTCGGTCCCTCCCGGATCCCACACATGGGTTCGTGAGACCCCAGGCTCCTGCACAGTTTCCGGGTGGGCCACGTTTGAGATTGGCACCACATCGTCCACATTCTCAATGAACTCTGCCCACTGATCATGTGCTTTCTGGCAATACCGGCACCCTCCACAGGGAAGCTCACTCGGTTGGACGCCATGTACGTAATGACTGGTCCTTGCCTTACTTTCCATTCGGGACAGAGCATCAGCATTGGTATGGAGAGTACCCTTGCGGTGTTCCAACGTCATGTTGTACTGACTCAACTCTTCCATCCATCGTGGTATCTGTCCCTGCGGCTCTTTGAATCGAAGCAGCCAGGTCAGACTATTATGATCTGTCCTAATCTTAAACGGTTTCCCCAGGAGGTAGTGGCGGAATTGTCTGGTGAGTCGCACGATAGCCAGCAGCTCCTTGCGTGTAGTGCAGTAACGTTTCTGCTCTGGGGTTAAAGCATAACTCGCATAAGCTATCACCTTTTCCTCGCCCCCCTGGAGTTGGATTAATTCACCTCCGATCGCTTGATCAGAGGCGTCCGTGTCCAAAATGAATTCCTCGGTTTGGTTTGGCAGGGACAGCACCGGGGGCTGCACTAATTTCCGTTTTAATTCATTGAAAGACTCCTGCTGTTCCTCCCCCCCACACGAAAGACCTTTTTCCGGTGACGTTATAGAGGGCTAGGGCGATATTGGCGAAGTCTTTAATGAATACCCGATGATAGTTTGCAAGCCCTTGGAACCGTTCCACATCTTTTGAGCATTTTGGTACCGGCCAGTTCTGCACAGTCTCAATGTCACCCTTGGACATCTCTAAGGTGTCAGTGCTAACAATCCTCCCCAGGAATTCTACTTTTTCCTGGCAGAAAACACATTTCTTGGGTTTGAGTTTGAGGCCATACTGACGAAATCTTGACAACACTTCGGTCAAGTTTGCTAGGTGGTCCTCAAAACTCTTACCCAGCACGACAATATCGTCAAGGAATGCCAACGCCGTTTTCCAATTAACTCCCATCAGAACAGGGTTTATAACCCGGGAAAACGTTGAGGGACTATTACAGAGTCCAAAAGGCATCTTCACGAACTCGAACAGACCGTATTTTGTTATGAATGCTGTTTTTCTACGATCGCCTTGGTCCAAGCTCACCTGCCAATAACCCCAGATTGCATCTAATTTGGAAAACCACCTGTTCCCAGATAGTGTATCCACGCAGTCTTCGACCAACGGAAGGGGATACACGTCCTTCAACGTGATGTTGTTGAGGGCCCTGTAATCAATACAGAATCTTACGGACCCATCCCTTTTCCGCACCAGGACGGGGGCCGAGGCCCACTCAGATATGGAAGGTTCAATCACCCCTGCCTCCAACATGTTGTTGAGCTCCCCTCCTCCTCCTTGGCAAAATGGATAGGAGTACGCCTCATTCTCTGTTTAATTGGAGCTCCCTCCCTGGTGTCGATCTTGAGCTCAATTTCCTTGAAAGAACCAAGATCATACATATGGGAAGCAAAAGCATCAGGTAAACTACAGATGACTACTGTCAACTAACCGTACTCCTCTTCCGATAAATTACCTTTGGACGCCTCCAGCATCTCTACTAAATGTTGTGGGATATCCTCTTTCTCCAGAGAACATGTGGCTACTGTTGGCCCTTCATTTGTTGGCTCCCCCCACTCTGGGCTAACATCTGTCAGTATATCCGCTTCTATAGCGGCCCCCACCATCTGACCTTTTTTCATAACCATGAAATTATCAGCTACGTTAACTACGCAGATGTGTGGTTGATCCCCGCTTAGATGAACCGTCCTT